ACACACACACGGGGCCAGGAGCTCGGACTCGACCCCCGCAACCTCAACTAGGTGAGCACACACAACACGCACGCGCGCGCACGCACGCCTGAAAACCAACATTCAGCGATCAGTCAAGACCTGAAGGAAGCAAGCAAGAAACCTTTTTTTAATAAATTCTTGCAGAAACGTCAAATTCCAAAGTAATTTCTTTAGTAAACTATACTGATTATTAATATATATATATATATATATATTATATATATATATATAATATATATATATATATATATATATATATATATATATATATATATATATATAATATATATAATATTTATATATTTTAATATATATATTTATTTCATGTAGCTAGGAAGGTAATTTAGTTTTATACTATTCATGTAATATATTGTCTAATTGCAAACTCTTTTCGTTGAAATCAATATGGACCTTTAATAAGGTCCTTTTTTTTTTTCTTTTCCTCGATGATGATGTTTGTTTGTTGAGGAAAAAAGATCGTTGGTAGTTGTAATGATTTAACCACCAAAGCCATAGAGGGTGCGTCCTTGCCGTTTCAAGGCATAAACGACATCCATTGCAGTAACAGTTTTCCTCTTGGCGTGTTCTGTGTATGTGACGGCATCTCGGATGACGTTCTCTAAGAAAACTTTGAGAACTCCTCGAGTTTCCTCGTAGATCAGGCCAGAAATACGTTTGACGCCGCCACGACGAGCCAGCCGACGAATAGCGGGCTTGGTGATGCCCTGGATGTTGTCACGAAGAACCTTGCGATGACGTTTGGCGCCACCCTTTCCAAGTCCTTTGCCTCCCTTGCCGCGACCAGTCATTGCAGAATCAAATAAGTCACCAGACAAGATGCAGCCACAACCGCTCTCTCCCAGAGAATGAGTCGAAGTCTAAAATGCCGCGTTTTCGCTTGTTGTTATATACCCAGCGTGTGGACGCGGTAAGTTCACGCCTACGTAGCACTATACCTAGAGTATAACTTCCTTGCTAATTTTCAGTCTATGCTCTAATTCCTGATTTCGCCTTTAGACCTAAAGGTGCCTGCTGCTCTCACTCATTGACCTATGAGGTGTGAATTCCATACAACCTTCTAAATGAAACAAATGACGAGACATAATGTAGAAACAGGAGCAGGAGGAAGGCGAGAGTAGGCGGAGCTTAGTGAGGACGTCAGCGGAGTTCTTAGCCAATGGAATCGCAGATCGAGGCGGCGGGCTGCACTATAAAAGCAAGATGTAGCCGGGAAATTTTTCATATCAGTCATACAGAATGGCTCGCACTAAGCAAACAGCCCGCAAGTCCACGGGAGGCAAGGCTCCTCGAAAGCAGCTGGCTACCAAGGCAGCCCGCAAGTCTGCACCTGCCACTGGAGGTGTCAAGAAGCCTCATCGTTACAGGCCTGGTACCGTTGCTCTACGTGAGATCCGTCGCTACCAGAAGAGCACTGAGCTGCTCATCAGGAAACTTCCATTCCAGCGACTTGTACGTGAGATTGCTCAAGATTTCAAGACTGACCTGCGATTCCAGTCGTCAGCTGTCATGGCTTTACAAGAGGCCTCTGAGGCTTACTTAGTTGGTCTCTTTGAAGATACTAACTTGTGTGCCATCCATGCTAAGCGTGTTACCATCATGCCTAAGGACATTCAGTTAGCTCGCCGCATCCGTGGAGAACGTGCTTAGGTCCCAACCTACGTATACATACAAACAGGCCCTTATTAGGGCCACAAGATAATGTTATTAAGAGATGATATAGACTAATGCATAATAATAATAATAATAACAATACTATTTATATAGCTACCTCCTAGATGATGTTATTTATTAAAAAACAGGCAAAGAGTCCTCTTACTTTGTTAAATGTTGTTGCAATGTCCACACAGACTAGGTAGGTAACATTTCAAGGATAGGAAAGGACCCTTCGTGGATGGGGTAGGGATACACATATGGATATATATATATAGATGGATACATAGATTGCTAGGTAGATAGATAGTATAGAAAGAATGGGTAGAGAAACAGAAATACTAACACCCCTCGTTAGCATATGAAATCACCCCTCGTTAGCATATGAAATCAAGCCTTTTTCAGTAGCCACTGCACCAACAATGCTCCTGTAACTGTTTCTCTTTATTTTCCTATATTTCTTGCCTTATTTGTTGGGGAGGGAAATGTAATCGAAAGAATAATAATAACTAGGTGGTAGTGAAATCTACAAAGAAAGGACATGGGACAGTAAGTAATCTAGTTATAAAGAAAATCTTTCAAGAATTACTACGTAACTAAATAAAATTAGAATTTGTTTCATTTCAGATAAAAAAAAAAACAAATAAATAAATAAATAAATAAATAGATAAAATTAATTTTTGTTGTTGTTTAGTCAATAGTCTCTTTGAAATCAATCTGTGGCTCCAATGGAGCCTAATTTTCCTTCTTTGAGAGTGCATTCTGCCATTTACTTAGAGGAGGTGTATTTGGTTACAGCCTTGGTGCCCTCAGAAACAGCGTGCTTAGCCAGTTCTCCAGGTAGCAAGAGCCTTACTGCTGTCTGGATTTCGCGACTAGTAATGGTAGAACGCTTGTTGTAGTGAGCTAGGCGAGAAGCTTCAGCTGCAATGCGCTCAAAGATGTCGTTCACAAATGAATTCATGATCGACATTGCTTTGGACGAGATGCCAGTATCAGGATGGACTTGCTTCAGCACCTTGTAGATGTAGATACTGTAGCTCTCCTTCCTCCTGCGCTTCTTCTTCTTGTCGCCCTTTGCAATTGCTTTCTGGGCTTTTCCAGCTTTCTTGGCAGCCTTTCCTGAAGTTTTGGGAGGCATGATGCAGCTTGCGTTGACGGGGTAATGTCAAATGAATTTGTGCGCGCCGGCCATGCCGTTCCTCTTTTATATGCCGTTGCCGGCTCAGGATCGAGGGTCTCGAATGTGCGCGCATTGTGATTGGCTGGCTGAAGCGTGTGCTCGCCTCGCTCGACCTACGGGAGTATAAAAAGGGGAAGCTCTTTCCGATAAAATACAAATCACCCACTGAGCAACAGCAGACATGTCTGGAGGGGAAAAAGGCGGAAAAGGAAAGGGAAAGTCAAAGTCCGCCCCAGTGGGGCCCGGGACTTCATTTTCCCCTGGGCAGAACCCCATCGTCTACTACCAAGGCAACTATGCGAGCTGTAGGAGCTGGTGCTCTTTCAGTTACCTGCAGCCGTCATGGATACAGCAGCAAAGTACTTGAGTTGGCGGCAATGCGCACGTGACAACAAAAAGACCGGGCATCATTCCTGTCACTTACACTTGCCAATCCGTAATGACGAGGAACTGAACAAGCTTCTTTCGGGTGTCACCATTGCACAAGTGGTGTCCTACCAACATTCAGGCTGTTCTTTTGCCAAGAAAACCAGAAAAGAATAGCTCTGTTTTCAGGCTTCAAAACCAAACATTACAGGCTCCTTTTGGGCACACTTAATTTAAAGGGGAAAAATTGAAAAAAGACTCGACTGACAACACATTAACAATAATAATATTCACAAAAGATAGGGACAATCGTCGGCGGCTACTTTGAAAAAAGAGATGAATAAATTTATATTTTAGAAAAAAATGATTTCTTTTTTTTTTTTTTGAAATTATTTATAGAACAGAAAATTAAATTTAAATAGGGTGATGGGTTACATATAGAAATACAGACAGATAGATAGATAGAAGGTACAAAAAGAGATAGAGAGAGAGTGAATTAAGTATGGAAGTTGTGTGAAAGTGAAGTTTGTTACCCCCCACCCAGGCCCCCTTGTTTGTGAAAGGTAATTGTTTTTTGGTGCGACTGCAAGTAAAATGTTGTTTATATAGTAAATTTTTGGGTGAATGTTGTTAGTTGTTTTGTTTGTTGTGTTTGTTTATTATGTTTGTATTTTTTGTTGTGATATGTTTATAAAATAACAATAATTATTTGTGACTTGAAATAGAATAGAAGAAGAAGAAGAAGAAGACCTGAATGTTTAAAATGGGTTTGATAGGGAGGGAGGAGGGTGTTTTTGGGTTTATGATTGTGCTCCGGCAACGGCGGCCGTTTGTCTGTTGTCTGTGTGTGTGTCTGTCTGTCCTGTCTGTTGAAATATAACATCACCTCCTTCCTAATCTAATATACCTGTAGTGTGTACCATGTGTTGGTGTGTAAATCTTTTAACAACCAACTTAGAAGCCTGTTTTCCTACCTACCTACCTACCTACCTACTACCTACCTACCTACCTACCTACCTACCTACCTACCTGGCAAGGAAGGGCACACCAAGGGTATTTAAACTTTGTTGCCTTATTATGTCCCAAACCAACCAAACCAAACCCCAAAACCACCAACCAAACCCAAAACCAACCAACCCAAAACCCAACCCAACCAACCAACCAACCAAAACCAACCAACCTGTTTTTTGTTTGGTTGGGTTTTGGTTGTTTGGTTGCTACTTAGTACTAGTTACTTATTTTCGTTACCTTACTTTCGTTACTTACTACTTCGTTACTTACTTACTTTTTAAACTTACTTACTTCGTTACTTACTTACTTCGTTTATTACTTCTTTTACTTATTACTTCGTTACTTACTTACTTCGTTACTTTTTACTTCGTTACTTACTTATTTACTTACTTTACTTACTTAATACTTACTTAATACTAACTTATTAAGTTTAAAAAATGCGGAAAATTTGGGAAAAAAAAAAAAATATTTTAATTTATTTTCTTGGGTTTTTTTCCTAGGTTTTACATCTATTTAGCTACTTAACAACTCAGAAACGAAAAACAAAACTAACTAACTAACTAACTAACTAACTACTAACTAACTATACCTACTCCCTACCTACTATACCTTACTACCTACCTACCAAACCTACCACCACCAATAAGTAAGTAAGTAAGTAGTAAGTAAGTAAGTAAGTAAGAAAGAACAAATTGTCATATACAATGGATAACAGAATAACAAAGTAAATCCCGGCTGTTTCATTCCTTCCTTGCTTCTAGTTAGCTGGTAGGTGTTGGGTTAGTAGGTATGTAGGTTGTTAGGTAGGTAGGTAGGTAGTAGGTAGGTAGGTAAGGTAGTAGGTAGGTAGGTAGGTGGTAGGTAGCCACCTACCTACTAGCAACCTTGGTAACTACCTACCTACCTACCTACCTACCATCCCTACCTACCTACCTACCTACCTACCTACCTACCTACCTACCTACCTACCAACCAACCAACGAACCAACCAACCAACCAACCAACCAACCAACCAACCAACCAACCAAACCCAAAACCAACCAACCAAACAACCAACCTATTATTTGTTGGTTGGTTGGTTGGGTTTGGTTGGTTTGTTGGTTGGTTGGTTTTGGTTGGTTTGTGTTGTTTTTGGTTCGTTGGTTGTTCCCTACTTATTACTTCGTTACTTACTTTGTTACTTACTTACTTACTTACTTACTTACTTACTTACTTACTTACTTACTTACTTACTACTTAATTACTAACTTATTAATTTTAATAAATGCGAATGTGAAAAAAAAGATACCATTTTTAATATTTTCTTGGTTATCCCTAGTATTTCCCATATATTTACGTATTTAACAAACTAAAAACAAACAAACAAAACAAAAACAAAAACAATTTAACTAACTAACTAACTAAGTAACTGGCTGGCAGGCAGGCAGCGCAAGCCAGCCAGCCTCAGCCCAGGCACCAGCCACCAGCCAGCCACCAGCCAGCCAGCCAGCCAGGCAGGCAGCAGGCAGGCAGGCAGCAGGCAGCAGGCCAGCAGCACCAGCAGCCAGGCAGCCAGGCAGCCAGCCACCCTAGCAACCAAGCTAGATAGGTAGCTACTGAGGAAAGAGGTGGCTGGCTGGTCTGGCTGGCTGGCTGGCTGGCTGGCTGGCTGGCTGGTGGTGGTGGCGGGCTGGCGGGTGGCTGGCGGGCCTGGCTTTTTAATTTTTCATTCAAAAACGTTGCTTTGCTCAAATCAAAATAAAATTTAAAATCAAATCAAATCAAATAAAATTTTCTGGTCCTAAACAGTGACAAAGAGACTTCTGTCCGACGGCCGGCACAGGGAAAACCAAAAATTTAGTTCTTGAATAATATCTTAAGATATTAAGCTTTAAAGCAGTGCTAAAACAAGTCCCTCCTATTAGATTTTCCCCGTTTTCAGTTGATTAGTAGAGAATGGGTGTCTTTAAGTGGGCTGGGAGGAGGTAGGTAGCCACTAAATAATACTACTTCAGCGTAGGGATTAGTTCTTTTAACTCAAACGTGATTAGGTTTTGGCTAACAAAAATTTCTGTGAATGTCTCCTATCTGTATATTAGGCATGATTTGTAAAAAAAAAAAAACCAAAAAAAAGGTTTTAATGCCAACAGCATTTGGGTTCCAGGCGGTCACCCATCCAAGTCTAACCAAACCCAAACGTTGCTTAACTTCGCTGATCGGACGAGAAGCGTGTGTTTCAACGTGGTATGGCCGTTGACACAGTACCTTGTTGGCAAATACTCTTTATAAGCCACGTTTTTAGGCAAGAAGTATCTAACAACACCAAAGTTTCCAAGTAAGTAAGTAAGTAATTGGGTAATTAAGTAGTAAGTAATTAATTAAGTAAGTAGTAATGAAGTTTATTTTAGTGCACATATTATTACAAAAACACATAAGCATGCTAAAAATCAAATAATTAATTCCCTTATAAATGTTTGTAGGGTCAACAAGTACACACCAATCCTACTTCATTTACTTACTACTTATTTACTTAATTACTTAACTAATCACTTTAATAAATGCAACGTGGACAAATAAACAATCTACAATTGTTTGGAAAAGAAATATAATTATTTGTAATTAATTTTTTGGGTTTCCTGGGAAAGTAATTTACCTATTTACCACATATACATCTATTTACAAATTCACAAAAGTACATGGTCATTATTATTATATTACTTTTAAATTATTATTAAAATTATTATTATTATTATTATTATTATTACTATTATTATTAATATTTATTACTTTTAAATTAAAATTATTTTTTATTATTATTATTATAATTATTATTATTAAAATATTATTATTTTTTAACTTTTAATTATTATTATTACTATTATTATTATTATTTTTATTATTATTATTATTTATTATTATTATTATTATTATTATATTATTATTAATATTTTTCTGGCCGGCCAAGCAAGCAGGCTGGGATGGGAGACAGGCTCCGAGTCAGGCTGGAGCCGGCTGGGAGGCCGGCTGAGAGGCCGGCTGGCTGGGAGGGAGGCAAAAAACGTTGTTCAAATCAAATATCTCATGCTAAACACGTGACAAAGAGGTTTGTTAAGCCGTTACAAACAATAGATATAAGGGGGACATATTTATGTATATGTATGTATGTATGTATGTATGTATGTTGATTATTTATTCTTTGTATGTATGAACGTATTTATGTATATTACCTTGAGCATGTGTGTCCTTTTACCAAATATGTACACACAGCTAAAATTACCATACATAGTGTATATTACTTAGGATACCTACCCGAGTCAAACAACCTTAATAACTCCTCTGCATTTGTGTCCTTGTAATAATTCAAGAATTTCTAAATATAATCCCTTCATTCAAACTTAGATCCCCCACCTAAGTAATTGTTTTTGTGTGAGAATCACTTGTAACAATAAGACATAAAAAGGAAATAAAGTTAACTTAATAAACTTTAAAGTGAGCATCAACTTAGAATGAAAATAAGTCACAATAACAAATTTCCGGTTATCCTCGGTAATTTACACCAAGTAATTCTGAGATTTGTATTTATTTATAGCTCTGCTCAAATTATTATGTTATTTACTTACTTTACTTAGTTACATCATTATGCACTTTAATGTGAACCTTTTTTTTGGGGGGTTTTGTGGGATGCCGGGGGGTTGAGGGACTGATTACCTCTTTCTCCTCCTGTTCTTCAATTTTCTCCTACGTATGGACTGATGAAGCCATTTGCGTGGTGAAACGTTTCCTCATTAAAGATACCCAAGAGTTGCACATGTGTCTAATTTATCAACATGTCGGTTTCTCTGAACCATTCATCTACAATGGCGGGGTGGAGTGGGGAGTCAGTACTGGCTGGCCATCATTTATGTGCTGGTTTGTACTGTACTGTAGGCCACAACAGAAAAAACAAGTTAATGGAGAACACTGAGACAAGCCTTCTGGCATATTCCTAGCCTGCCTGCCTGCCTGCCTGCCCTGCCTGCCGGGCCCCCGGGCCTGCCGGCCGCCTCGGCGGCCCTTTCAAATTCTTGAAGCAATGTTGTTTTTCAATGTGACCTAGATAAGAACATAGAACAAGAACAAGAAAGGAGGATCACTGCAGCAGGCCTGTTGGCCCATACTAGGCAGGCCCTTTACATGCCTTCTGCAGTGTTCCTTCGTTCTTATGTTCTACATGCTCAAGGAAAGAAGACATAGGTTTCCCCATATCCTTTGTACCCTCATATACTACTATTAGTCCCTCTCAAAAACAACCATTTCGACAAACGGATTTGCCCTAACCTACATTTGGTAGCTACCAAACAAACGATTTACTTTCAGTTACAATACTAGGCCACGCCTAAGTCTGTCAGGCAGCCGTAAAAAAACAATAATTAAATGAAAAACCTGGACACATGAAAACAGGGTTGTTTTCCCTAAGGACGAAGCTGCAATACCTGTTTCATTGTGTCCCATCCACCGCCCCTATTCCCCCTACCTCTCTCCCTAACACACACAGACAAGCATACACACACACACCGGGGGCCCGGAGCTCGGGCTCGACCCCCCCAACCTCAACTAGGTGGCACACACACACCCCCGCGCCGCACGCACGCCTGAAAACCAACATTCAGCGATCAGTCAAGACCTAAGGAAGCAAGCAGAAACCTTTTTTTAATAAATTCTTGCAGAAACGCAAATTCCAAAGTAATTTCTTTAGTAAACTATACTGATTATTAAAAATATATATTAATATAATATATAATATATATATATTAATATATATATTAAAAATATATATATATATATATATATAAATATATATATATATATATTATATATATATATTAAATTTTAAATAAAAATATTTATTTCATGTTTGCTAGGAAGGTAATTTAGTTTTATACTATTCATGTAATATATTGTCTAATTGCAAACTCTTTTCGTTGAAATCAATATGGACCTTTAATAAGGTCCTTTTTTTTTTTTTTTCCTCGATGATGATGTTTGTTTGTTGAGGAAAAAAGATCGTTGGTAGTTGTAATGATTTAACCACCAAAGCCATAGAGGGTGCGTCCTGCCGTTTCAAGGCATAAACGACATCCATTGCAGTAACAGTTTTCCCTCTTGCGTGTTCTGTGTATGTGACGGGATCTCGATGACGTTCTCTAAGAAAACTTTGAGAACTCCTCGAGTTTTCCTCGTAGATCAGGCCAGAAATACGTTTGACGCCCCCACGACGGCCAGCCGACGAATAGCGGGCTTGGTGATGCCTGGATGTTGTCACGAAGAACCTTGCGATGACGTTTGGCGCCACCCTTTCCAAGTCCTTTGGGCCCCCCTTGCCGCGACCAGTCATTGCAGAAAACAAATAAGTCACCAGACAAGATGCAGCCACAACCGCTCTCTCCCAGAGAATGAGTCGAAGTCTAAAAGGGGCCCCGTTTTCGCTTGTTGTTATATACCCAGCGTGTGGACGCGGTAAGTCACGCCTACGTAGCACTATACCTAGAGTATAATTTCCTTGCTAATTTTCAGTCTATGCTCTAATTTCTGATTTCGCCTTTAGAAACCCAAAGGTGTCTGCTGCTCTCACCTCATTGACCTATGAGGTGTGAATTCCATACAAACCCTTTTAAATGAAAAAAAATGACGAGACAATAATGTTTTAAAAAAAGGAGCAGGAGGAAGGCGAGAGTAGGCGGAGCTTAGTGAGGACGTCAGCGGAGTTCTTAGCCAATGGAATCGCAGATCGAGGCGGCGGGCTGCACTATAAAAGCAAGATGTACCGTGAAATTTTTCATACAGGGATACAGAATGGCTCGCACTAAGCAAAAAGCCCGCAAGTCCACGGGAGGCAAAACTCCTCGAAAGCACTGGCTACCAAAGGCAGCCCGCAAGTCTGCACCTGCCACTGGAGGTGTCAAGAAGCCTCATCGTTACAGGCCTGGTACCGTTGCTCTACGTGAGATCCGTCCTACCAGAGAGCACTGAGCTGCTCCCTCAGGAAACTTCCATTCCACGACTTGTACGTGAGATTGCTCAAGATTTCAAGACTGACCTGCGATTCCAGTCGTCAGCTGTCATGGCTTTACAAAAAGGCCTCTGAGGCTTACTTAGTTGGTCTCTTTGAAGATAACTAACTTGTGTGCCATCCATGCTAAGCGTGTTACCATCAAGCCTAAGGACATTCAGTTAGCTCGCCGCATCCGTGGAGAACGTGCTTAGGTCCCAACCTACGATACATACAAACAGGGCCCTTATTAGGGCCACAAGATAATGTTATTAAGAGATGAATAGACTAATGCATAATAAATAATAACAATACTATTTATATACTACCTCCTAGATAGTTAATTTAATTTAAAAAAAAAGCAAAGAGGGCCTCTTACTTTGTTAAATGTTGTTGCAATGTCCACACAGACTAGGTAGGTAACATTTCAAGGATAGGAAAGGACCCTTCGTGGATGGGGTAGGGATACACATATGGATATATATAAAATAGATGGATACATAGATTGCTAGGTAGATAGATAGTATAGAAAGAATGGGTAGAGAAACAGAAATACTAACACCCCTCGTTAGCATATGAAATCACCCCTCGTTAGCATATGAAATCACCCCTCGTTAGCATATGAAATCAAGCCTTTCTCAGTAGCCACTGCACCAACAATGCTCCTGTAACTGTTTCTCTTTATTTTCCTATATTTCTTGCCTTATTTGTTGGGGAGGGAAATGTAATCGAAAGAATAATAATAACTAGGTGGTAGTGAAATCTACAAAGAAAGGACATGGGACAGTAAGTAATCTAGTTATAAAGAAAATCTTTCAAGAATTACAACGTAACTAAATAAAATTAGAATTTGTTTCATTTCAGATAAAAAAAAAAAAACAAATAAATAAATAAATAAATAAATAGATAAAATTAATTTTGTTGTTGTTTAGTCAATAGTCTCTTTTAAATCAATCTGTGGCTCCAATGGAGCCTAATTTTCCTTCTTTGAGAGTGGGATTCTGCCATTTACTTAGAGGGGGTGTATTTGGTTACAGCCTTGGTGCCCTCAGAAACAGCGTGCTTAGCCAGTTCTCCAGGTAGCAAGAGCCTTTCTGCGTCTGGATTTCGCGACTAGTAATGGTAGAACGCTTGTTTGTAGTGAGCTAGGGGAGAAGCTTCCGCTGCAATGCGCTCAAAGATGTCGTTTTACAAATGAATTCATGATCGAATTGCTTTGGACGAGATGCCAGTATCAGGAGGACTTGCTTCAGCACCTTGTAGATGTAGATACTGTACTCTCCTTCCTCCTGCGCTTCTTCTTTTTGTCGCCCTTTGCAATTGCTTTCCCGGGCTTTTCCAGCTTTCTTGGGAGCCTTTCCTGAAGTTTTGGGGGGCATGATGCAGCTTGCGTTGACGGGTAATGTCAAATGAATTTGTGCGCGCCGGCCCATGCCGTTCCTCTTTTATATGCGTTGCCGGCCAGATCGAGGGTCTCGAATGTGCGCGCATTGTGATTGGGGTGGCTGAAGCTGTGTGCTCGCCTCGCTCGAGCCTGACGGGGAGTATATAAAGGGAAGCCCATTCGCGATAAAATACAAATTTTCACACTCACTGTAGCAAAAGCAGAAAGTCTGGACGTGGCAAAAAACGGAAAAAGTGAAGGAAGTCAAAATCTCGCTCCAGTAGGGCCAAATTCATTCCCCGTCGGCAAAAACCATCGTCTACAGCAAGGGCAACTAGCCAGCGTGTAGGAGCTGGTGCTCCCTGTCCCTGGCAGCCGTCTGGATTTCCTACAGCAGAAGTACTTGAGTTGGCCCGCAATGCTGCAAGTGACAACAAAAAGACCCGCATCAATCCTGTCACTTTCCAAACTGGCCATCCGTAATGACGAGAACGAACAAGCTTCTTTCGGGGTCACCATTGCACAAAGGTGGTGTCCCACCAACATTCAGGTGTTCTTTTGCCCAAGAAAAACCGAAAAGAAATAAGCTCTGTTTTCAGGCTTCAAAACCAAAAAATTACAGGCTTTTTGGAGCCACACATTAAATTTTAAAGGAGAATTTGAAAAAAAACTCGACTGACAACACATAACAATAAAATAACAAAAGATAGGGACCGAATCGTCGGGGGCTACTTTGAAAAAGAATAATAAATTATATTTTAGAAAACATTGATTTCTTTTTTTTTTTTTTTGAAAGTTATTTATAGATACTATTAAATAATATGTGGATGGCTTAATATAGAAATACGACAGATAGATAATAAGAGTACAAAAAGAAGAGAGAAGAGATTTAACTAATAATGGAATTGTGAAGTTGAAATTGTACCCCCCACCCCAGGCCCCCTTTGTTGTGTATGTGTTATTGTTTTTTGGGCTGACTGCCAAATAAAAGTTGTTTATATATGTAAAAATATGGGGGGAATGTTTTTAGTGTTTGTTTGTTGTGTTTTTTATTATGTTTGTATTATTTGTTGTGATAGTTTAAAATAACAATAATAGTTTGTTGACTGAAATAAGAACTAGAGAAGAGAAAGAAGCCAGATGTTTATTTTGATGGGTTTGATAGGGAGGGAGAGAGAGGGTTGTTTTGGGGTTTATGATTTGTGCTCGGCACGGGGGCCCTTTGTCTGTCCTGTCTGTGTGGGTCTGTCTGTCTGTCTGTTGGATATAACATCACCTCCTCCTAATCTATATACCTGTATTTGTGGTAGCATGTGTTGTGTGTTATTCTTTTTAACAACCAACTTAGAAGCCTGTTTCCTAACCCTACCCACCTACCATACCTACTACCTACCACCACTACCTACCTACCTACCCCTACCTACCTGGCAAGGAAAGGGACACAAAAAGGTATTTCACTTTTTTGCCTTATTTATGTGAAACCCCCAAACCAACCAAACCAAACCAAACCAACAACACAACCAACCAACCAACAACCAACCCCCAAAAACTGTTTATTTGGTTTGGGTTTGGTTGGTTGTTTGGTTGCTACTTAGTTACTTCGTTACTTACTTCGTTACTTACTTCGTTCTTACTTACTATTCGTTCTTTCTTACTTCGTTACTTACTTTACTTCGTTAATTATACTTCGTTTATTATTTTACTTACTTTTCTTCTTATTATTATTCGTTAAAAATTACTTTAAAATTACATTCTTTTACTTATAATACTTACATATTACTAACTTAAAAGATAAAAAATGCGAAAAGTTGAAAAAAAAGATATATTTTTAATTTATTTTCTTGGGTTATCTAGGTAATAATCATTACAATTAACACTCAAACACCAACCAAAAACCTAACTAATTAATAATAACTAACAACAAAATAAACTTACTACTACCTAACTACCTAACTACATAACTACCTACCAACCTACCCTACCCAACCCAAATAAGTAGGGACGTAAGTAAGTAGTAGTAAGTTAGTAGGAACAAAGGCATAACAAGGATACAGAATAACAAGTAAATACGCTGTATTTTGGGGGTTTTTTTGGGGTTTGGGTAGGTTTGTTGTTAGGGGGGGGGGGGTTTTTTTTGCCACCCACCTATAGCTACCTTGGTAACTACCTACCTACCTACCTACCTACCTACCCACCTACCTACCTACCTACCTACTACACTACCTACTCTACTACTAACCCAAAACCCAAAAACCAACCAACCAACCAACCAACCAACCAACCAACCAACCAACCAACCAACCACCAACCAACCTATTATTTGGTTGGTTGGTTGGTTGTTTGGGTTTGGTTGGTGGTTGGTTGTTGTTGGTTGGTTTTTGGTTGGTTTTGGTTCGTTGGTTGGTTGCTACTTAGTTACCTTCCCTTTCTTACTTTTTACTTACTACTTAACTTACTTACTTACTTACTTACTTACTTTCTTTCTTTCTTAATTACTAACTTTTTAGTTAATAATGCGGAAATGTGGAAAAAAAGGATAATTTTAATTAATTTTCTTGGGTAATCTAGGAAATTAAAATATATTTACGTATTTAACAAATAAAAACAAACAAACACACCCCCCCAACAACTACTAAAACTAACTAACTAACTAAGAATACTGGCTGGGCAGGCAGGCAGCCAGCCAGCCCAGCCAGCCACCAGCCACCACCACCAGCCACCAGCCAGCCAGCCACCAGCCAGCCAGCCAGGCAGGCAGGCAGGCAGGCAGCAGGAGCAGGCAGGCAGCCAGGCAGCCAGGCACCAGCAGCCAGCCACTAGCTACCTACTACTAGGTAGCTAGTGAGGAAAGATTTGGTGTGGTGGGGCTGGTGGTGGCTGGGTGGCTGGTGCTGGCTGGCTGGCGTGTGGTGCCTGGCTTGGCTGGCTGGTTAATTTTTCATTCAAAAACGTTCTTTGCTCAAATCAATGAAATTAAATCAAACAAATCAAAATAAATGTCTGGTCTAAACACGTGAACAAAGAGGAATTTGTCGACGCCGGCACAGGAAAAACCATAATTTAGTTTTTTGGAATAATACTTAAAAATTAAGCATTAAATCATGTGCTAAAACAAGTTACCCTCCTATTTAGAGTTTCCCGTTTCAGTTGATTAGTAGAAGAAGGGTGTCTTAAGTGGGTCTTGGGAGGGGTAGGTACCACAAATAAACTACTTCAGCGTAGGATTATGTTCGTTAAAACTCAAACGTGATTAGGTTGCTAACAATAATTTTGTGAAATGTCTCCTATCGGTATATTAGGCTATGACTGTAAAGAAAAGCCAAAAAAAAGGTTTAAGCCAACAGCATTTGTGTTCCCGCGGTCACCCATCCAATACTAAACCAAACCAACGTTCTTTAAATTCGCTGATCACGGAAGGGTTTTCAACTGGGATGGCCGTTGACACAGTACCTTTGTGCAAATACTTTATAAGCCACTTTTTTAGCAAGAAGTATCCACAAACCAAATTTCCAAATAAGTAAGTAAGTAATTAATAAATTAAGTAAGTAATTAATTAAATTTTGTAAGTAAAATAATGAAGTTTTTATTTTAGTGCCCCATAATATATTAGCAAAAACACAAAAGCTATGCGTAAACACATATTAATTCTTATAAATGTTTGTGGTACATACAAGTACACACAATTACTTCCAGTTACTTAAATTACTTATTTACTTAATTACTAACTTAATCACTTTAATAAATGCAAAGTGACAAATAAACAATCTACAATTTGTTTGGAAAAAGAAATAAATATTTGTAATTAATTTTCTTGGGTTATCCTAGGTAGGT